AGTCCCTCTGTGCCTTCAATACCCTAGGGCAGCTGCAGGTAAGACCGATGAGTTTGAATTGAAGTCGAGTTTGCTACATCACATTCCCAAATACCATGGGTTGTCCATGGAAGATCCAAACAAGCATTTGAAGGAATTTGAAGTAGTATGTTCAAGTATGACACCCATTAACGTGGATGGAAATATTTTGAAGATGAAAGCCTTCCCATTCTCTCTTATGGAGAAGGTTAAAGATTGGCTCTATGAACTAGCACCTGGAACCGTTACTTCTTGGGAAAGTATGAAGAAATCATTCTTAGAGAAATTCTTCCCAACTTTAAGAGTCATTCTTTTGAGGAAGAAAATTAGTGGAATTCAATAAGGCTCGGGAGAATCCTTTCCAAGGTACTATGAGTGTTTTAAGACGTTAGTTGCATCTTGCCCACAACATCAAATGAAGGAAGAGCTTTTAATTCAATATTTCTATGAAGGACTACTTCCACTGGAGAGACAAATGCTTGATGCTTCAGCGGGAGGTGCTTTGGTTGACAAAACACTAGTTGCTGCGAAGATCTTAATAGCAAACTGAGCTTTGAATGCACAACAATACGAAGGAGTTGGAGGGAGAGATCATACACGGCCAAGTCCAGTTAATGAGGTAAGTGCTATTTCGGAACTTCAATCTCAAATGGCTAATCTCTCTACTCTTATTTTGCAGGTTGTTGAAGGATCCAAAGTACAAAGTACAGACACTTGTAGCGTGTGCTCTATGCATGGACACCCCACTAATCAATGTCCTCAATTAATAGAGAATGGGGGATGGGAAAGTGCCAATGCCATAGGTTATCAAGGCCAAAATCAACCTAGGTATGACCCGTTTTCAAAGACCTACAATCCGGGCTGGAGAGATCATCCAAATTTGAAGTGGAGGGAGCCTCAACAAACTCAACAACAAGGCGAATATAAACAGCCACCTCTGGGGCTCTATCAAAGGCCGTTCGCACCACCACAGCCTCAACCACAAACTGCCCAATCAAATTCAGGTTCGCCATTGGATAATGATCAAATGCTTAAAGTACTAACTTCTTTGACTCAAGGTTTACAAAATCAAGCCAAAGAGATGAGCGAAGTGAAGAAGCAAATTGGCCAGATGGCGGAGTTCATGGGACAGTTTAGAGAAGAAAGCAAACTACCTAGCTCAACCATTGTCAATCCAAAAGGAGGTTTTGAAATGGCTAAAGCTATCATCTTGAGGAGTGGTAAAGATATTGGAACTAATCTCAAAATGTCCAAACAAAGCCTAAAAGAGAATGAAAAGATGCTGCTCAAAGAGAAGGAGGTGGACAAAGCCATGACAAGGGAGGAACAACCCTTGCTGCAGTCCCCCAAACCTCCTACACAACCAAACTCAGGTAAGGTTGTTCCAAATTCAACTCATTCTAACCCTATCCCACCAAATGTGCCTTTCCCCCGCAGGTTTATGCAATCTAAGAAAGAAGAGAATGAAAAGGACATCTTAGAGACTTTCAGGAAGGTACAAGTTAATATCCCACTACTTGACGCAATAAAGCAAGTTCCGAGATATGCTAAATTCTTGAAAGAGCTTTGTACAACAAGGAGGAGGATTTCAAACAAAGAAGTGGTAAGGGCAAGTGAGAATGTTTCAGTAGTTTTGCAACGAAAATTGCCACCTAAATGCAAAGATCCAGGTAGTTTCACTATCCCTTGTGTTATTGGTAACACCAAGTTTGAACATGCCATGTTAGATTTAGGTGCTTCCATTAATGTCATGCCATACTCTATTTATGCATCTATGAACTTAGGAGAGCTTAAAAATGATGGCGTTATAATTCAATTAGCCGATCGTTGTAATGCATATCCGAAAGGAGTTTTGGAAGATGTTTTGGTGCAGGTTAACCATTGATATTTCCAAGCAGATTTTTATGTGCTTGAGATGGAGGATTTGGCCCATTCTACACCATTGTCAATCTTACTTGGACGACCTTTCATGAAAACAGCCCGAACCAAGATCGATGTGTTCAAGGGGACGTTGACAATGGAATTTGATGGCAATATCATTGATTTCAATATTTCTGAAGCTATAAGGTACCCTATTGATGATCACTCCTGTTTCTCTATTGATGCATTTGATTCTTTGGCGCAGGAATATCTCGAATCCCTAGATAGGGATGTCCTTGAAACCACCATTGTTCAAGGAATTGAACTCATAAAAAATGGGGCCGAACCTAATCATGAAGAAATTGGCGAGATGGTGGCTGCTCTTGAGTCACTGCCACAATATGTTGTCAAGCCTCCGATCCCAATTCCAATTCCCGTTTCTACTAACAAGTTGTTACCTTCAATGATTCAGGCACCCACTCTCGAGCTTAAACCGTTATCGAATCATTTGAAGTATGTCTTCTTGGGAGATAAAGAGACTTTGCCCGTCATAATCTCTTCATCACTCACAGCAGTGGAGGAGGAAAAACTAGTTCGGGTGTTGCAAAAGTACAAAACAGCTATTGGATGGACTTTAGCCGACATCAAGGGACTTAGTCCTATAACATGCATGCATCGCATACTTCTAGAGGAGGGGGCTAAACCAACTCGAGAGGCTCAACGCCGACTCAACCCTCCAATGATGGAAGTTGTGAAAAAGGAGATCATTAAGCTTCTTGATTGTGGGGTCATTTACCTAATTTCGGATAGTCATTGGGTTTCACCAGTTCAAGTTGTACCAAAGAAATCAGGAGTCACTGTGGTAAAAAATGAAGAGAAGGAACTTGTCCCCACTCGTATCAAAAACAGGTTGGAGAGTTTGCATTGATTATAGGAAGCTCAACACTACCACAAGGAAAGATCACTTCCCTTTGCCGTTCATTGATCAAATGCTTGAAAGGTTAGCCAGTCATTCTTTTTATTGCTTTCTTGATGGCTATTCGGGATATAATCAGATTGTTATAGCCCCAGATGACCAAGAAAAGACTACTTTTACTTGTCCGTTTGGTACTTTTGCTTATCGACGAATGCCATTTGGTTTATGTAATGCACCAGCCACCTTTCAAAGATGCATGGTAAGTATCTTTTCCGATTTCGTTGAGAAGATTATTGAGGTTTTCATGGATGATTTTAGTGTCTTTGGTGACTCTTTTGATGGCTGTTTAACTAATCTCACGTTGATATTAAAACGTTGCATTGAAACTAACCTTGTTTTAAATTGGGAAAAATGTCACTTCATGGTAAAACAAGGCATAGTTTTAGGACATAGTTTCAGAAAAGGGAATTGAAGTTGATAAATCAAAAATAGGTCTTGTACGCCACTTACCCTCTCCCACTTCGGT